AGGGCTTGGTGGTGGAGGTTGCCAGGCCTTGGGGGGCTCTCTAGTGCTGAGGGGCCAGGCTCTGAGGGCTTGTGGGGGGAGGTTCCCAGGCCTTGGGGGGCTCGGCACAGGGCGGTTCCCAGGCTCTGAGGGCTTGTGGGGGGAGGTTCCCAGGCCTTGGGGGGCTCGGCACAGGGCGGTTCCCAGGCTCTGAGGGCTTGTGGGGGGAGGTTCCCAGGCCTTGGGGGGCTCGGCACAGGGCGGTTCCCAGGCTCTGAGGGCTTGTGGGGGGAGGTTCCCAGGCCTTGGGGGGCTCGGCACAGGGCGGTTCCCAGGCTCTGAGGGCTTGTGGGGGGAGGTTCCCAGGCCTTGGGGGGCTCGGCCCAGGGAGGTTCCCAGGCTCTGAGGGCTTGTGGGGGGAGGTTCCCACACCGGGGGGGGCTCGGCACAGGGCGGTTCCCAGGCTCTGAGGGCTTGTGGGGGGGGAGGTTCCCACACCGGGGGGGGCTCGGCACAGGGCGGTTCCCAGGCTCTGAGGGCTTGTGGGGGGGGAGGTTCCCACACCGGGGGGGGCTCGGCACAGGGCGGTTCCCAGGCTCTGAGGGCTTGTGGGGGGGGAGGTTCCCACACCGGGGGGGGCTCGGCACAGGGCGGTTCCCAGGCTCTGAGGGCTTGTGGGGGGGGAGGTTCCCACACCGGGGGGGGCTCGGCACAGGGCGGTTCCCAGGCTCTGAGGGCTTGTGGGGGGGGAGGTTCCCACACCGGGGGGGGCTCGGCACAGGGCGGTTCCCAGGCTCTGAGGGCTTGTGGGGGGGGAGGTTCCCACACCGGGGGGGGCTCGGCACAGGGCGGTTCCCAGGCTCTGAGGGCTTGTGGGGGGGGAGGTTCCCACACCGGGGGGGGCTCGGCACAGGGCGGTTCCCAGGCTCTGAGGGCTTGTGGGGGGGGAGGTTCCCACACCGGGGGGGGCTCGGCACAGGGCGGTTCCCAGGCTCTGAGGGCTTGTGGGGGGGGAGGTTCCCACACCGGGGGGGGCTCGGCACAGGGCGGTTCCCAGGCTCTGAGGGCTTGTGGGGGGGGAGGTTCCCACACCGGGGGGGGCTCGGCACAGGGCGGTTCCCAGGCTCTGAGGGCTTGTGGGGGGGGAGGTTCCCACACCGGGGGGGGCTCGGCACAGGGCGGTTCCCAGGCTCTGAGGGCTTGTGGGGGGGGAGGTTCCCACACCGGGGGGGGCTCGGCACAGGGCGGTTCCCAGGCTCTGAGGGCTTGTGGGGGGGGAGGTTCCCACACCGGGGGGGGCTCGGCACAGGGCGGTTCCCAGGCTCTGAGGGCTTGTGGGGGGGGAGGTTCCCACACCGGGGGGGGCTCGGCACAGGGCGGTTCCCAGGCTCTGAGGGCTTGTGGGGGGGGAGGTTCCCACACCGGGGGGGGCTCGGCACAGGGCGGTTCCCAGGCTCTGAGGGCTTGTGGGGGGGGAGGTTCCCACACCGGGGGGGGCTCGGCACAGGGCGGTTCCCAGGCTCTGAGGGCTTGTGGGGGGGGAGGTTCCCACACCGGGGGGGGCTCGGCACAGGGCGGTTCCCAGGCTCTGAGGGCTTGTGGGGGGGGAGGTTCCCACACCGGGGGGGGCTCGGCACAGGGCGGTTCCCAGGCTCTGAGGGCTTGTGGGGGGGGAGGTTCCCACACCGGGGGGGGCTCGGCACAGGGCGGTTCCCAGGCTCTGAGGGCTTGTGGGGGGGGAGGTTCCCACACCGGGGGGGGCTCGGCACAGGGCGGTTCCCAGGCTCTGAGGGCTTGTGGGGGGGGAGGTTCCCACACCGGGGGGGGCTCGGCACAGGGCGGTTCCCAGGCTCTGAGGGCTTGTGGGGGGGGAGGTTCCCACACCGGGGGGGGCTCGGCACAGGGCGGTTCCCAGGCTCTGAGGGCTTGTGGGGGGGGAGGTTCCCACACCGGGGGGGGCTCGGCACAGGGCGGTTCCCAGGCTCTGAGGGCTTGTGGGGGGGGAGGTTCCCACACCGGGGGGGGCTCGGCACAGGGCGGTTCCCAGGCTCTGAGGGCTTGTGGGGGGGGAGGTTCCCACACCGGGGGGGGCTCGGCACAGGGCGGTTCCCAGGCTCTGAGGGCTTGTGGGGGGGGAGGTTCCCACACCGGGGGGGGCTCGGCACAGGGCGGTTCCCAGGCTCTGAGGGCTTGTGGGGGGGGAGGTTCCCACACCGGGGGGGGCTCGGCACAGGGCGGTTCCCAGGCTCTGAGGGCTTGTGGGGGGGGAGGTTCCCACACCGGGGGGGGCTCGGCACAGGGCGGTTCCCAGGCTCTGAGGGCTTGTGGGGGGGGAGGTTCCCACACCGGGGGGGGCTCGGCACAGGGCGGTTCCCAGGCTCTGAGGGCTTGTGGGGGGGGAGGTTCCCACACCGGGGGGGGCTCGGCACAGGGCGGTTCCCAGGCTCTGAGGGCTTGTGGGGGGGGAGGTTCCCACACCGGGGGGGGCTCGGCACAGGGCGGTTCCCAGGCTCTGAGGGCTTGTGGGGGGGGAGGTTCCCACACCGGGGGGGGCTCGGCACAGGGCGGTTCCCAGGCTCTGAGGGCTTGTGGGGGGGGAGGTTCCCACACCGGGGGGGGCTCGGCACAGGGCGGTTCCCAGGCTCTGAGGGCTTGTGGGGGGGGAGGTTCCCACACCGGGGGGGGCTCGGCACAGGGCGGTTCCCAGGCTCTGAGGGCTTGTGGGGGGGGAGGTTCCCACACCGGGGGGGGCTCGGCACAGGGCGGTTCCCAGGCTCTGAGGGCTTGTGGGGGGGGAGGTTCCCACACCGGGGGGGGCTCGGCACAGGGCGGTTCCCAGGCTCTGAGGGCTTGTGGGGGGGGAGGTTCCCACACCGGGGGGGGCTCGGCACAGGGCGGTTCCCAGGCTCTGAGGGCTTGTGGGGGGGGAGGTTCCCACACCGGGGGGGGCTCGGCACAGGGCGGTTCCCAGGCTCTGAGGGCTTGTGGGGGGGGAGGTTCCCACACCGGGGGGGGCTCGGCACAGGGCGGTTCCCAGGCTCTGAGGGCTTGTGGGGGGGGAGGTTCCCACACCGGGGGGGGCTCGGCACAGGGCGGTTCCCAGGCTCTGAGGGCTTGTGGGGGGGGAGGTTCCCACACCGGGGGGGGCTCGGCACAGGGCGGTTCCCAGGCTCTGAGGGCTTGTGGGGGGAGGTTTCCAGGGGGGACCCACGAGGGGCTGGAACTCTCCCCTGACAGCCCCTCCCTGACCCCTCCACAGGCGAGGTGGGTGACTGGAAGAACCACTTCACGGTGGCGCAAAGCGAGGCCTTCGACACCCATTACCAGCTCCGCATGCAGGGGACCGGCTTGCACTTCCGCACCC